CTCATTTTGATTTATTGTAGAGATGAGATCTTGCCAAGTTGCCCAGGCGGTTCTTGAACCTGTGGGGTCAGGCAATTCACTCCCCTCAGCCTCCCAAGGCACGGGATTATAGGCTGAGCCACCGAGACCGACTTAGATTCTTTTTAACACCACAGTTCTAAGAGGCCATTTCTTTGGTCAGAAAGCATGTTTGTTTCCTAAGCCACGTGTGTTTTCCACTCCTCAAAAACGTACGCCAAGAACCAATATACGTGCCGTTTTGTCTTAAGATAAATAAATGAGATACTTTATAAAGTAATCAACAGATAAAATACATGTTTACAGAGGTGCAGGCAAGAAGTGGGGGTGCTAGACATACATTCCCTGTGCAGAAGTGATCCGGGGTGCATGCAGATACTAGTTCTAATTTTGCTAGACTGCTACAGGCAATGCTCCCTTACAGCGCTTCATGTGCTCTTCCAAACAGGGCAAAGTGGGTTGTTCCACAATCCTACAGGTCTCAAAGGTGTTCTTTCCCAAGTAGTCATGGATATCAGGTTCTCTTTTACCACCTCTCATTTCTCAGGATCAGATTCCAGCTCAGTGTTACATTTCCTAGGATGTTACTTCTTTCTTTTCTTTTTTTTTGAGTTGGAGTTTCCCTCTGTCACCCAGGCTGGAGTGCAAGTGGCACACTCATGGCCACTGCAGCCTCGACCTGCTGGACTCTGGTAATTCTTCTGCCTCAGCCTTCCAAATAGCTGGAACTACAGGCACACGCCACCATGCCCAACTAATGTTTTGATTTACTGTTGATGTGAGGTCTCGCCAAGTTGCCCCAGGCTGGTCTCGAACCCGTGGGATCAGGCAATTCTCTCAGCTCAGCCTCCCAAAGTGCTGGGACGACAGGTGTGAGCCCCCATGCCCAGCAGGATCCTTACTTTTTAAAAGCGATAACCACTTGTAGGTAGACTAACAGCACCCCAAAGAGGTCTATGTCCTAATTTCCCAACCCTGTGAATGTTAGGTTACGGAGAAAAAGTGACTTTGCAGATGTGATTAAGGATCCCAAGGTGTCGTTTAGGGCACCGGTGCCATGTAATCACAGGAGTCCTGACAAGGCAGGCGGGAGAGCTAGAGGCAGGGAGTGGATGGGGGCGGGGCCAGGGGATGCAGCGCGCAGGTTTTAAACACGGAGCAGCAGCACGAAAGAGCCTCCCTGGAGCCTCCGGAAGGAATGCAGCCCGGCAGACACCTTGATGTGGGGACTTGTGACCTCTAGAGCTGCAGGTGTGCATTAGTGGTAAAGTGTTACAGCAGCAACAGGAAATCAGGACGCCAGTCATTACATAAAGGCCTCATCTCCAAAATATCTGGGTTCACCTTTAATCAAAAACACAGAAAGCCGCGGGCGCGGCAGCTCACGCCTGCGACTCCAGCACTTTGGCAGGCTGAGGCAGGAGTGTTTAAGACCGAGTGTTCGAGACCAGCCTGGGCGAGAGCAACATGCGCGTGCACACAACACACACACGCACCTCAAGACCGCGCAAAAAAGCGCAACGGCCTAAGCCCAGACCCCGCTGCCTCGTGCCTGGCCAGAACTGCCCGGTGCCAAGCGGCGGCCCGGGGAGCCGGATAGAGGCCCGCCCCTCCCGAGGCACCACACCAGGGAACACAGGGGCGACAGTCGCACAGACGACCCCCGCCGGGCCTCGCCAGTGCCCCGCCCCGCTCGCAGTATCCAGGCCGCCCGGGGGATCTGCGCCCCTCCCGGAAGCAGACACGATGTGCCCTGGGCCCGTCGAGGGTG